GACCTCCTACAGTTATTAAAAAGAGCATGTCATTACATGGCGTCCTCCCCCTGAGAACAAAGATAGATACCATTCTCATGCCTGTACACAAACTATGAAGCTACAACTAGTAGCTGGGTAGCTTTTGAGCTTAGATCTACGACGTACAAAGAACACAGGTTTGATAGCTCCCGACTCCATTTAGCTTTACAATACAATAATCCTAGAGCATCACACGTTTTCCAAACTACACTGTGTCTGAATGTCTGAATGATGGATATAATACAGTGATTTTTGTGTTATTAGTACAACAAATACAAGTGTAACTTAGATGGAGATTTGATCATATGAATACAGGTCATTTCACTGGGTTCGCTTACTGTATACATGGTTTGTGAAGTGTTGGAGACACTTACTGTACCACCCAGTGTTTACTGGTAGTAAAGTCATATTTGGGTGCGTAGATGAAGGGAACCCTGAAGTAGAACAACAGATAAATGACCAGAGGACCGGTATACTCTGTCAGAAAGACCTGATACAAAGAAAGTTGGACAGAATACGTCAGAACCTTGGAGACCTAGTTAAGCTCAGATAAATAAACACTATGCTATATTGGTTTCTCAGAAAGATAAATCTATCATGTTCCCTCAGCTTGTTCTCTCTGTCACTACCTGCCTCTACTCCCAGCAGTCAATACACTGCACCCCCCAAAAGAAACGCATGCACCTTTTTAATGCAGTGTGAAATCTCTATTAAACTCCACTCAATCCCACTTGCACTCTGATGTACGTGGGCTTGTCAGAATTGTTGAACCAAATCTAACTGACAACACGATGATTTCCCATGTGACCGATGGGCAGCTCTACGTTGTACTCACTGTGACCCAGCTGATCTGAGCTCCCAGGTCTCTGAAGTAGAAGGTTGCTGTGGTTCCCACAGGAAGATTCTGTAGAACATCCTCATCCTTCAGAGACTTTCCCTCTGAAACACACTTTTACTTAATGACAGTCACAGTAAATTATGAGCTGACTGTATAGAAAGCAGTACTATATTCAACTGAATTATATGGATACACCATAACACTTTGGCAGACTTACTGGGGTCGAGGCGAATGGACTGTCTGGCTGGATACCACTGAGGATCTGAAACAGATGGTTAAGTACTTAATGGGCAGGACAAAGTCAGTACTGCCATTTCCTTCATATTGATTCAGGTTATTGAGGCTTTAGTCGCATGGAGAGAGAAGGTACTCACGGCTCTTGTGAAACATAGATTTGATCTCCCCGATAGTGGCATTTGGCTCGACCTACAAATAAAACCACAATAAATAACTAGAGGGACATGTACTCACATACACACAAAGGAACAGACAACTTCATTTTCCATTCATGATGGTAAATTTAGCTCTGGCTGAGCCCACACACCCCATGAACATGGGCTATTTAACAGCTGGCAGTAGGGTCTCAGAGAACCTCGGCACACACACAGCTCTGTACCCCAAATATACAATGACAACTAAACAAACATGACGAGCACGAAAAGGCAAACTGGACACAGTTGTTACAAGTGGAATAACAGCAGTGCAACCTCCTTTAAAGTCATCACTACGTTCCTATTACCTAAATAAATATCTTTATCTATTCGAGTTGAGGCAGCTTACACATACCTCAGCCAGGTGCAAATACTGTTTGTACACAGTGAGCACATTCTACAGAAGAAAATTTGGACAAGTGGAAAGGTCACCTAACTTCTGTCTCTTCCTCTCTGTTTGAGGCTTGTTAGGATAGCACAGAGGAAGCAGCTTATTCCTAGGTCTTGTAGAAAGTCTGGTGGGATCTTTAGAAAGAAGACATTCTGTTGATATAGAATAGGTTAGGCCTATCTGTCAGTGTAGAAGGTGAGATCTTCTTCACTGTAGTGGCACTGAGGTGGTCAAGCTACCTGGAAGAGAATAAGCTTGTGAATGCTGTACTGCAACAAGCCAGAATAGCAGGTTTGTCTGGATGCTCGGAGCACACAAGCATGGATCTGGCATCAAATTCAGTCAGCAAGGACGGAAAGAGGAGACTTGCACCAAGATGTGGCAAATGCATTTAGATCTGTTTAACACAGTTTACTGTGGGAAGGATTAGAGCATTTAAAGGTACTAAACATATTAAAATGGTTAGTGGGAGAATATTTTCAGGACATCCAGATATGTTTTGCAACTGCAGATTTTACTGCAAAACTTCACTATTGCAATTTTATGATGATAATGCAGGCTATTAATTGTGGCATGTAAATAGGTCATAGGAGGAGAGATGCTTCAGTTAGGGCAGCACTTACCACCTAAAGGGTGTAAATGGATGCATGACAACCCTCACTACCACAGGACTACGTACCAAAAATCTGAACACTAGATTATGGGCTAGCATAATGGTTTGCTTAAAAACAAAAAGGAGCATTTAAATTGTATAGGTATTGGATCGGATTAGGAGGCAATTCCAACAGTGTTAAACAAGCCAGTTAAGAGTTGGGTAGTATGATGCAGCTCTTGGTGATAGAGAATAGATCCAGGGCCTGAAACAGCAGGTAGTGAATGGTATTAAGAGGCTGCCTGATGTGCAGGCAAGGAGGGCAGGTGAATGAGGTGGGATAGTGTAGAAAAGAAGAAACTTAGCTGGAGGGATGTATGGCACATGGAAGCAGGTAGGATTAGATTCATGCTTGGATCAACTTATGTACTTCCATCTTTAACATCTTAGCAGATGGACAGGTGAGGACCCAACATATCCGATTCATTTCAGTACACTTTATCAGGTTGTAAAACAAGCCCCTCTTAAGGATGATACACCTGGAGATCTAACAAAGTGCTGAAGTTTCTTGCTGCAGTCACTGAGAGTGCAAGCTCAAAAGGAACTCCTTGGATGCAAAGAAGAAACAAGATTTTGTTTGTTTCTGAGTGTGACCAAGCTAGAAACCAAGCAACTCTGAACAGGCACAATGCAGGGCAGCTAAAAGCAGGGAGGTTAGCAGGTTAGTTATCTTATCAGGCTAGTTAGATCAATAGGAATGGATGCTTTGTTACTTGCCAAGACAAGGTAACTGAGCATGGCTACTTGGCTGTTGCATGATAGAAACATGTTGTTTAGCCTGACATTAGCGTTACCTGGTTGTAGTTGGCTAGTGATATGGCCTCCTGCAGAGGGATCTGATGTGTGTGGGGCTGCTGGTAAAGATATGGGTGGTTCTGAGACGCTGGAACATGATATAAGCCTTCTCAGGGTCTTGAGCGCAACATATCAAAACTAGTTATTGAGAGGATGTCCACTTGATGACCGTATAGACTTGCCTGCACTCTTACACCCACACACCACTTCATTTTGACACAATATTATTTTAGTTCAGTGATCTTCACTATTTTTTTTCCATGGCAGCCACACTGGCAGGAAAAGGCAAAACACCAAAAGCAACCTCATCTGTTAGGCATATCTGAATTAACATTATAAATGTGTCATCCCACAACATACAATGTGTAATTTAGAATTAAAACAGCATTATCTTAATACTGGGATGAGTGGAAGCATGCATTTTAGAAGTTTCACTGAATTTTGGATGCGTCCTTTAGAAATAGTGCTCCAATAACCTACTTCACTTAAACCCAGAGGGCTTGTTTGTATATAAACCCAAAAGAGTTGGCTCTATGGAGGACAAATAAAATATGTCTGTCCATTTTTCTTGAAATTTGCAGTGCTAATCCTGTATGGCTCATACCTTTCTTTTTACTCTGCACACCTCTCTGCCCTCTAGTCCTCTCTCCAGAGTCTTTGTATTTGCATTGTTGCTGCAAGTTCATTTCTCTCCTTTAGCACACTATTTTGTTTCTGTCCATGTGGTTTACACCTTTGTTTGATTAGAAATTGGTCAATTTTTAATGTCTGTGCACATCATGAGATGCTACAACAGCCAAACTGGCAATATGGCACTGTAGGTCTGAGCAGTACTGACAGTTCTGTGTTTAGCCCATATTTCCATCTTGTGTATGAATAGCATAGCTGTTTGAGAATTTTTATGAATTGTGTGTATTGACTACATTATCATACAATAGGTCAAAGTGTTTGTCATATGCAGTTAGGAAACATGTTTCCTTGTACAATGAAATTCTTATTTTGCCATCCACATGAATGCCACATAATACAAGTGAAATATAAAGTAGATGAGCAATAACACAAATGTAAATAGGCAGTAAAATCACAAATCTAAGGCACTTTAAAGCAGCAAGTGAAGGAAGCAAATACAAATACAAGAACACAATATAATGCAGAGAGAATATATGCTACATGGGAGCTGTGGAGTGCAAGTACTCAGCAGTGAGTGTGCAAAATGAATATGTACAGCTGCCGTGTGAACCGCCAATTAAGACTTGGTGTGAGTAAGTGGCAAATCAAACAGAGGGGTTACTAAATAGTGGCTACTGGTGAAATCAGTGGATGTTTATAGTGATGACGGTTAAACCGTGCAGACATGGCTCTCAGATGGAGCTGCCTAACAAGCCAGTTGGGACAGCCACTGTAGCTCAACCTGAACAGATACAATACAGATTTAAGGCCAGATTTAAGCACTCCATTTGCTCTTGGATGAGGATAGGATTCAAGAAAACTTAAAATGTGCATTAGGTCAGAGATTATCTCATTAACAATGTTTTATCTTAATTTTGTCTTCACTAATTTTATTCTGTTTTTATTGCAGTTACTGTTTTTCTTTGCCTATTTAAAGCACTTTGAATCGCCTCTGTGTATGAAATGTGCTATATAAATAAAGTTGCCTTGCCTTACTGAGCAGGCTTTCAGATCGAACTGCCTGTTGAGCCAGTAGAGTTGGCCACAGCAGCTTAGCCTAAGCAGATACAGTGTAGGTATAAGACTGGGCCAAGCTTCCAACTATTTACTCCTTTGCTTGGATTAGTAAAAGCAGCTTTAAAATGTTAGATCAGTTAAAAGGTACTTCAGTGTCAGGGCTAATGAATAATGTTGCCTGTCATTGGGCAGATTTATGAATGTAGAGCCAGCGCAGGGCAGTGATGATAGGTCAAAAGATCATTATTATGAATGCTGGGCTTCCATAGGAATGATAAACTACATTTAACTGATAACTAGCTACATGTAGGTATAGCATATAAAAGCCCAGATTACACTAAACAAAATATAGTACATACATAAATGTTTGCTCTGTGAGTAACCTGGGGTCTAAACTCCCACCCCTCACTGAGTAGCAATTTACTACTGAGCCATTATACAACTGAACTCCACAGCAACATACTGTAAGCCAGGGGTTCCCAACCCCTGGTCCCCGGACCGGTATTGGTCTGTGGATCATTTGGTAACGGTCCGCAAAGAAAAAAATTTCATGGTTAAAATTATAGTTATTTTTCTTTCATTAGTCTTAGTTTGAAAAACAACCGTTTCCGCCTTTGTCTCACTACTGCACTTGACTCTGGCACGCCATTTTACGCATCAGCGACACAAGCTAACCCTTTAAAAAAAAATAAGCCAAAAACAAAACTCACTGGAGAGCTTTTTCAGGAATGAACGAGCAAACGATGGGACAGCAGAAGGGTCACAGGGCAAAGAGGTGGAGTGTGTGGAGGTCACCAGACAGCAAAAAGAAAGCTGCATTTAAAAGAAAATACCACAATTCCTACCCAAGTTACAGGTTCATCGCAACAGGTGATACACAAGCTCCACACCCGCTAAGCATAATCTGCAGTGACTGACAAGCTAATGAAGCCATGAAACCCTCAAAAATGCTTCGCCACATTGAGACAAGACACCCTGCGTTAAAAGACAACCCCTTGGAAATTTTTCTAGTTGCAGGGAAACAAGCCCAGGGCTCCCACTGACTCTGCATTGTGGTGAGTTGATATTATAGTGTAGAATTATTGTAATTGCCTAATATAAAGTGTAATTGTTGCATTCAGATTACATACTATGAACTGACAAAGGTTTTGTTATTGGAACCCCCGCGCCTCTACCCGGTCCATAGAAAAACTTTAATGCATGAAACCGGTCCCTGGTACAAAAAAGGTCGGTGACTGCTACTGTAAGTGACAACAATAAATTTCACAGTTACTTATTTAAGAACGATTGCTAAATGGCAGTGAACACGATTAGCAGATTAATATTATGCAACTGTTTCACTGTTGAACTTCCCTAAAGTTTCTGTTGATCTGTTGCAGTGATTTTCCTCAGTCATTGTATGATCCTCCTGTGGCAGACTGGAGAAATGTAGCACTGTGC